TCGTAACAGCCAGTGACTCCTCTGAAAGCCTAAGGCTGACAAATTTGCTGTTGAACATATGCTATAGGAAGCCAATAAGATAATACCCAGACAGCTGAACCAGTGAACACAAACGGTGGGTTTTTTGTAAAAAATGTCCTCACGATGAGCCAAATTCATCTCTAGAGTAAGGGCAACTGCCACTGATGTCAGGTCCACACATCTTTCATTGACGCTAGGGTCCAGATTCTCCTCTCACGCTAGTGTATCTCCACTGATGACGAGTGCCGTTATTCCAGATTTACACCAGAGTAAGTGAGAAGAGAATGTGGCCCTGTTGCTTGTTGCACCCACTTACTCCTGGGCTGAATTTGCCCCAGTGTTTTTCTTTATCACTTAACAAATATGCCATCTGTAGCAACAGACTTTGGCACCTGCATCTCCCCCACCTGTGGGCCTCATCGCTCTGAAAACCATTTTATCTACCGCAGCAAGAGAAGACATTCCCTCAGAGGAGATTTCTCAGAATCATAAATGCTGCTCAGCAAGAAACAGGCACTCCATTTGCATTAGCTGTGCAAGTATTTCAAAGCTTGGCTTTCTGGGTTTATTTGTCTGTTACTATGAACTCTACATTCTGGAGAATTTGCTCCCAACTTCTGGAGTGAGTTTGATGCCAATTGCATAACAAAACTATTGACAATACATGTTCACATGAGTAAATCCACTTACATTCTTTAAGACCTGGCTTTTGCTCTCCCTGGCCAGCTGACCTCCCTTAGCAACTAGTGCACATAGCAATCCTGCTGAGAAATCAAATGTCAGAAAGCAAATTTTTCATTTACAAAAAAAACCACACACAAAAAAAACAGGCAGTAGGGAAAGCTTATAACAGCTAAGTTACAAACTGCTGTCAGGCCAGGGTAGCTAACTTGGCAGTCCATGATCGAACCAGAATTTTTTGCCATTGATTCAAGTGGGAAATGTTCTTGTCATTCACAGTCAAAGCATATCAAAGGAATTCATGGTATGAAAGTTGTCTGTCTCCTACCGCTTCTGCATACACCATGTGCTGGGCCACTTGGCAGGCCGGGAGATTACGTAAAAAATCTTGGAAAGTCGGCTGCCTTTGTTTGCTATACCAGAAATGCTTTCCTTCTACAGCAGCAGCTCTGTTACTGGAGATTTCAAACAGAGAGACAGGCCTACATCCAGGCCAAACCAAAAACAGCCCGTCTCCCATTCATTACTTCAATAAGGTGCCTTGGGGACAGATTCACAAGAACCATGATGGGCTCCAGCACGTGGCATGGTTCCTGTTCTACGCTTCACTCAAAATAAATGCATTCATGTTTGTCAGGAATTTAGACAAACCAACTAAAATCATACTAGCTGGGCTCTGCAGGAGCTAACACAGCGGGCGGGCTGGGGGACGTAGGGGGACAGTTTTGAAAGCAGTCCAGGGGATTTAGCCACACACACCCAATGATATTAATGAAAGCTGTGTAGCTGAAATCTCCTGGCCTGCTTTGAAAATGTCACCCTAAGTGTCTCTTCCCACACAGAGCTGAGCTTGGGTGAATCTGATATTCCCTTCCCCCACCAAGGGGCTTCAGTCAAGTTAAAAAATATATATTTACAATGGATCAGATTTCTTTACCCTATTTAACAAAACCAGAATTTTAAAATGGCAAATTACTCCTCACTGTTTCTTTTGTTTATTGCTTACATTTAACTAAGCTTGGCAGATGAAAATAGACGAGTCAATTTCCTGTTTGCTTGTAGTTGTTTTTCAGTCAGTTACAGGTTCAGGTTCTCATGCATTAGCACAATATTATGATGTCTGAGCTGCAAACAGAACTGAAGAATGCCTGGTTTGTCTGTTTATTTTGTTTTTTTTTAAAGAAACAGTTTCAATTTGGGTTTAAAAAAAGGTAATAGAAATATTGATATTAAGATTTCATCAAAAGTTATTATTTTTTTTTACTTTATTTTTTCAATAAAGCCTAAATTTGTAAGCAAACTCCACCTAACACTCTCCATTTAAAATAGTCATCGTTCCTTGAGAGGTACTCGGAAGATTAAGAAAGAAGTTAAAGGGATAATGGCAATTCAGAGAAATGTGGGATTTCTTTTAAAGCGTACGTACCTAGTGTTAGAACAAGTAACACCTAAAAGAACCTAAAAGATCGCTATATCTGAAAAATGTTAGTGAGAAAGGATGGTTCATTTTTCATTTTTTTTTTTCAGTTGGCTTAGCTCTGGCCTACACTACAAATTTATGCCGATATAACTAAGTCGCTCAGCGGTGTGGACCTAACTTCTGGTGTAGACAGCACTCTGTCAACGGGAGGGCTTCTCCAGTTGACATAGCTACCGCCTCTTGGGCAGCTGACACTACACTGACAGAAGCAGCTCTCTCATTGGCGTAGGTAGTGTCTTGACTGAGCGTTACAGCAGTGCAGCTGCACCAGTACAGCGCTGTAAGTGTAGACAAGCCTTTACTTTGTGATTTTTGACATCACTTTGCATGGAGTTAGTTTCACTTTTTCTTCTGTATGGCTAAGCTGCAATCCTGCAGTGAGCTCCTTGGGGACAGACCCCTGGAGAGAAGGCTTAAGCTTGGGTAAAGAGCAGCCAAGTCTAGGGTTCATGTTGTGGTATTTTGGAATTATTTTTTTGCTCAAGCAGATCCCAGAGGGAGTATTTGGAGCTGAGTGGGATCTCTCTTAACTGTCAGAAGTTCTGCTCTGTGTCAGCTTTGCCCTTAAATGCACAGGATGTCCTTTATGTTTCTGTTTTGTTTCTTTGTTTTACAGCAGTAAAGCACACCACCTAAGTTTGTAGGTATCGCTCCTGCTCTGAGTGGCTTATTGCACTACTCTCTCTTCTCTGTAGACCTGTGGGGCCTTTAAAGGCCATTTTTCAGATGACTTAGATGCCTCCATTAGAGACAGGGTGGGTGAGGCAATATCTTCTATTGGGCCAACTTCTCTAAGGAGTTATGTCATACTGTAAACCATTTTGGATTGGAACTCTACCTTGGGAGATGTCATCAGCAAGTCACATTCTATTCTGAATTCCTATTTCAAGTAATTCATCTTTTTTTCTTGTCTCCCAAGTATACATAGATATTAGGCGATTGTGGGCTTGGTTTTCAGAGGTACTGCCCATGACTCCAATTGAAATCAATGGGAGCTGTAGGGACTCAGTACCTCTGACACTTGGACTTTGTTTTTTTAAGGGTCCACTCTTTAATATTCTTAATGATCCCTGATGTGTGTTGGAATAGGGTAGTATCTCTTTAAGTAGTTTGTAAGCCCAGTAGTGGTGTTCTCTGTATTCCATGTTTTAGATGCTGCCAGAAATCAGCCAGGGCAGCAACAAGTATGGCATTTTTGTGTCTCGTTAGTAAACATGGTTCTCTGGACCCAACTGTTCCCTGTGGTTTCTTCATATTGTTATTGTTGTGTAAAAAACAAAAGACACAGCAGGTCTCAAATATCTTTCAGAGAGGCCTGGGTTGGTTTATTTATTAGATGGTTCCTCCCAACTGAGATCCCAAGAATAATAGTAACAGCTAATTGGACAAAAGCTATCAAGGAGATGTTACTTAGATCAGAGATATTAGGTATATTATGACATCAGACAACCTTAATAAAACATTTAATAAAAATGTGTAGATCATGCATCACTGCCCAGTGGGTAAAATTCACATTGCATACTGTCCATCGCACCTAAATCCAAAAGGCCTTCAGAATCCCTAGAAAATACTCTGTTAGAGTATTGTACACATTTAAACACATTTAAGTATTTAAACACATTTTTGTGTATCTTTTGTTTTCCTCCCGGTTTGTGATGTTGCCTTTGTCACAATCTGAAACAAACTACTATCCTTGCGGAAAAGTCCTATATAATTCGATAGAAAAAGTTAACTTCTATAGATGACTGCTCTTGAGAATGTATTAGAAAATGAGATTTGCTCTATAGAACTCTATAGCCTGGTTTAAAAAAAAAGATTATTTTATTTTATAAGTGATCAGAGAAATTTCTGTAGAATGTAATAGGTTTTATCCCAATTGAATTTTTTAGGACTTTTCTATATAGGAATGGCTGTGAAACATCATGTCATAGAGGAAAGGGACTGTTCTATTGGAGCTACAGTATTTTCCTTCAGAACTAGTTCAAACTTGCATAGTGCTATGAACCTACCCATTGTAAAATACTATTCTTGACCATGTTTAGCTCTAATTTATCAGTTGGTCTGGCTCATTTCTCATGGGCAGTTGTGATGAGAGTCGTGCAGTTGCCTCTGGGTCTGTCATGAGGCTAGGCTGCTGATGAATTTTCTGAGAATTGTTACAACATACTTTCACATGCTGGAAAAGTAACTTCTTGTACTAATGCGGCATTTACATATTATACAGACCCCTTTTTATGGCAGAAAAAACAGTGTTTTCCCATGAACATAGTTAATGTGCTGTAAACCTATGAACTGTTTGGATCCCTGGGCTACCTCTCAATATACATATGTATTGATAATACACTTTCCTCTGGAAAAGACTTGACATACCAGTTGGTTAGTTATGCAGGTGCAGCAACCAAAATCTCTTATTCAGATGGTGTACAGGGGTCAGCGGTCTTATTCCATGCAAAATCTGGAGAAGTAGCTGCCGATGGGCTGCTCCACACTCTGACATTTGGATGAGTGTGTGTGTTTCAGTGGCCCTAGGATAACAGATGGGTCCAGCTGTTGAATACACAAGTGTGTTGGGCCCCAATGTTGTCTGTTAAAATTGGGCTTTTTAAATGTATAAAACAAAAGATTTTTTTTAAAACCCAGAATAATTCATGCAACTTGCCTTTTGACCCAGCAACAAGAGATTAAGACACATTGCATCAGCAGGGACTACAAGACTTCTACACTAAGAGCTGAGTAACCAACTAACTCTCCTGCATTAAGCAGCCTTTTGTATAACCCTGGGAGAGTTCCCATAAATTCCTCCTTTCATGGGCATAGATTCACTCTGCTGCAGGCACTCATTTTATTTTAAGAGCACTCCCTTTCTCTAAGGTTTCTAAGTCACAAGGAAATTTAATTCAGAAGCCCAACAACAAAATGATAGATCTTCACAGATTCATCCTCTGGGTAAGTAATCTGCCTCAAAGAGGCTGGCAGCTCATCTGTGATCAGAGAAGTCCCTTTCTGGAAGGAAAATTCAGTATAAAATGAAGGGAAAGAGTTGCTGGCTAGCTAGAGAACTACAAAAGGGAAAGGCATTTGCTCAGAGCCAGGAGGTTTCTCCCCATTGCAACTAGATTCATACCCCAACAGGTGAGTAAAGGAATGTGGAGAGAGGGAAGCATGAACCTTGTATGGATGGAGTCTTGCTTGAATCTTTCACCTCCTCTGGAAAAGGAAGAAGGAACTCCTACCCATATACTCCCCACTCATCACAGTTCTGTTCTTGGGAGCCCTCGAACAGAGAGGTGCAAAGATACCAGAGTACTGACTCTCTGCCTATGATGGAGCCCCTCTGTTCAGCATAGCCTAAAGCCCAATACCAGAGGATTATTTCAAAAAACAGGGACCCCTCTCAAAAACAATGAGCCACTATACTAATAAATGGAGGTCTATCTTACAAAATAGTGTTGGGCAGTTGGCTGTGTTTCCCTTTAACTCTTAGCCTTAATCAATATAGAAATGGTCCCAGCTGAGGTAATACCATTCTCTCCCATTGCCTGTTGCTTAGCTTGCCTTTAGATTTTCTGCTTCCTTCTACAGCACTTTAACAGCAACCCAGTGTATGACTGCTATAGTTGGCAGAAAGGTACTTAGTCTCCCATTTCCATTGCTGAGCTATCTTTTGCTTCTTCCCTCCTCCAGATAGTGAACATGTTTAATTAAATTTTGAAACTTCACTATGAAGATTAGGAGAAAATAAAGATACTGTTAAGGGGGAGAAAAAGAAAATGTTTTCAAGTCAGCTTCATTAACTACCAGGCTATTAGAATGAGGGTCACTTTGCCCAGACTGAAATAACTGCATATCCCTAATTGCATTTTATTTAAGTTATTTCTTGTTAGCAATTTAATATGGCTGGAAGCACAAATTAATTATACCTGGCAGCTAGCTGTAGGAAAGTTATAGTGATCAATGTTTAGGGTGGTTTTTTAAAATATTTATCTTTAGTTTATATACTTGGGTCACCACCACCTATCCTCAGTATTAATCTGGTGGAATAAGGAATGGATTTTTATAGTAGCCAGTGAGCTAGATAGGCAAAAACAAAACAAAACAAAAAACCCCAGCATAAGCCTTCTTATCCAAAAGGGCTTGGGAAATCCACAGTATTTGGATAAATGGGGGGTAGAGCAATCAGGGGAGTGCTAGGGAAAGTGACCCTGGCTGGGGCACCTAAGCTTTAAAATGGACTTGCAGTTAAATAGTGCTTGGATAAGCAGGGTTGTAAAAGGGGTTAGATTTTGGATATGGTCACAATTCTGTTCTTGCCTACATTTCTGCTCTTATAGCATCATATACCCTTTCTTGCCACTTATACTCCTTTATATCTTTTCTCTGGACTCACCCACTATGATGGAATGCACCCCTGTATTCAAACCCTACACACTACTGTAATAATCTTTGTATGAGGTATGCCTTGTGAGGTATCATTTGAAAACTCATAACTTGCTGATCAGTAATATCATGGTAAAATGCATGTAGCAACATTATGTGTAAAGTTTTGAACATAAGCTGAAATCATAACAGAAGTGTGTTTCCCAGCTAAATCAAGGGAGTGGCTAAACCAATTTCTCCAAGATAAAGGGCAAACTTATACTTCAGCCAGGTGTCAGCAAAGCTGATGGACCTATCAAGTGGTCATCCTTGGCAAGAAAGTGGGACAGGGACAAAGGGATCCGCATCTTAGCATAGAAACAGCATGAAGTCTCCTTCCTTTTCCAGTCTCCCTGTCTCTTGGTTCTCAGCTGGAAATGCTTTTCAAAGAGGGACTAAAACTATAAAAAGCAGGGGCAAACACCCCAAGATATCTCTCCTTTCTCTCCCTGTCCATCTCACTCTTTGCATCTGAGAAAACAAAAGAAACAGCTATTGGAGTCTGAGGGAGGTGTCCTGACCTGAAGAGTTTAGTCAGTAATGCTGTTGGAAACATGTGGTGAGAAACTTTGCTTGAATCTAATATAGTTTAAGTTTAGCACTAGAAAAGTGTTTCATCTTTATTTTTCTTGTAACTATTTCTTACTCTTATGCCTCGTTGCTTGTACTCACTTAAAATCTAACTTTTGTAGTTTATAAACTTGTTCTATTGTTTTATCTAATCCAGTGCGTTTAAGTTAAAGTGGCTGGGCAACTGCATTTAAGGTGGCAAGTTGTTGTGTATTATTCCCTTAAAGGAATAACAGACTTAATATATTTGGACTATCCAGGAGAGGGCTGGGGTGTACAAGACATATATTTGTGGTGCAAAATCTGGGACTTGGGAGTGTGTTGGGGTCGCCCTGTAGTATAACCAAAGCTGGTGAGAGCCAGGGTATGATAGGCAGGCTGTAGTTACACCATCTGAGAGTGACCTGCATGCTAGCAAGCTGTTTGCGAGTGGTCCAGGTTGGGAGATACAACAGCAAGGTCTTGTGAGGCACCCCAGGTTGAAGGGCAAGGGTGATACAGTGCCTCGCTGGTCTGGATTGCACCCTGGTATGTCACACCCACTTAGGAGAGAGGATGGTCCTGTGATTAAAGCACTGGACTGAGACTTAGAAGATTTGTGTTCAGTCCTGCATCAGCCATAGACTTCCTGAGATTAATCTCTTGGTGCCTCAGTCCCCCCTCTGTAACCTGGGGATAATAGTACTTCCCTACCTCGCAGGAACTTTCCTTAATGATGGTGATGCACTCAGATACTTCAGTGATGTGGCCATGTAACTACACAGGTATAATCAATAGCTGGATTGCACTGAGTGCCTGCGGCTCCTATTAATTTTAATGAGCTGAGAGATCAATGCCTTGCAAGACTGAACCTCCTGTCTCCTCCTTCCCTACTTGTTTGTGCATGTTTTTTATGCCGCCCCCTACACTTTTGTACAGCATTCCATTTCCTGAGTGCCAAGCATTCAGCCTTCCTTTCTTCAAATCTGCCCTTCAACCCCATTTCTTCTGTAAAGACTTCCAATGGCCAATTCCACGTTGCCAACCATGTCCACAAGCCTTCTTGCAACTGAACTGTACTTCTGTGTACGTTCTTTTTCTGTGCAATAGCAAGATCCTTGGGACAGTGATCTAGCTGTTTATATGTTTTGTAATGTCCCATGCAGACTTATGGGGATCTGTGAATAATAAACAACAAGATGTGATATCGACAGTATTGGAAAAGACAGGAAATTGATTATTGCCTCTTGGGCAAGTCACTTCATGTATCTATGTCTCTATACCCCTTTGCAAAATGGGCTTTTCTTTAACTATCACAGAGGGGGATGTGAGAATTAGATAGTAATCTTAGCATAGTTCTTTGAAACTGTACAGGAAATCTTGTGTATTGTTGTTGTTTATTAGCTAAGGAACAGGTCAATTATCAGCTGAGGAACTGGTCAGTCAATTCCCAAAGGGCGAAAGCAAAACCATCTGGCAAAATATATCTGAGAGCTTAGGGAATCAGGACCAAGAGCTGGATTCTTCCTCTGTCTATGGTATTAGAGAGCCACATGGGGAGCTCTGGGAGGCAAGATTACTCTCAGATGATGATCTTCCTGGTGTGCAAGGAAAGCATGCTCTCTGCACTACCCCTTAGGACGGTGCAGCATGCATTCACATCTGCAGCTAATCAGCTCCAGTGGTTAGTACACAGGGAAGGACGACACCTTCTCCTCCTCATCCCAACAGCTGGCATGTGAGGTGTGCCAGGAAGGTGCAGCCCTTGCACTCAGGACAGCATGGGGACTATGACTATGCCTTACTCCTTGTGCCCACCCCACCCACATCCTGCACACGAACTCGTAGGCCAGGCACAGTCCTGCCCGATGCGGTTCTTTTGCACTCCTTGCAAAGACTGGTAATGGTTGGGATTCTAATCACATTGCTGTACTCAGAGGTTGCCCTCTCAATGCAGAGATGAATCCTTTTCAGGGGATTGTTTCTCTTTTCCCAACTTTCACAGCAATGGGGGTGGGTCGTCTCCCACAGAAAACCACACTGTTGAAAAATGTTCATTGGTGGAGTGAAAAACCTTTTTAGTTGTGGATGTGACCCTTTCAGATTTTTCAGCAGATGAACTGGTTGTGGGAATGCTGTTCTTTTTGAGGTAACAAGTTGCGGAGGGTCTATGCTTTGTTTTTGTGCCAGAATACAGTACCAGGAACAAGAGCATTCTCCCAGGAAATAAAGACGCAGGACTTACGTAGTGCTGAAGCCAGAAAGCTGGGGATCAGTTCAGTAATACAGTGGCTCTCAAACTTTTTCAAATTGTGGACTATTCCTAAGAGAGAGGTTATTTTGTGAGGGCTGGTAGGTGCTTGCCATTTCCGAAAATCAGGCTGCTTATTTAAGCATCTACATAAGGATTTAAGAGCTTAATGTTCAGCTCCAGGGTCGTGAGTCTCATCCACAGGGCTAAAAGTGCAAACCCCCCAAGTTCATGACTTATCAGCCCAAGCCACTCCCTTCACCGTACGCAGGCATTAAAGGATTCCGATGTAGCGCCTGGTGTCTCTTGTCTTAGTCTGTGCCCCAAATAGTTTATGTCGTCTATTTTTTCATTATGTGTGCACACACAGCCCCAATCCTTGGGCCCCAATCCTTGACTGAGGCCACTAGGTTCTACCACAATATAAAAAATAGTACACAGTAAGGGCCTGGACCTGTTCCCAGCAAAATCCATGGGAATTTTTTCAAAGTATGGCTATGCAGTTCACTTATGAAATTATCAAATGTCTTTTAAAGATCTAGCTTATTAGGGGTGTGTGTGTGTGTAAAGTGGACTGAAAAAGAGAAATACAGCTTCTCACTGGAACCTCAGTTCTTTGGAGCACTTGCAGTCTTGCATCCTCACCAGTTTCTATTATCAATATTTTTAGCTGCCAAGAACAGTAGATTTTCAATAAGCGCAATATGTTCTTGTGTTTCTATTTTGTGTT